AATTTAAGTTGTATACAATTACATAAAATTACAAAATTGGAAACAAAAAACATGTCCTTAAATGATAGTATGCAAATTGTCAAAACAGCGATTAAAAAATTAAAGGGCGATGTTGTAAGAAAGAAAATTGATTCTATTACAGAAAAAAATCTAGGCTATATTGATTTTAAAACAATCAATGACATAATGAGTGGTAGACATCCTTTTAAAAATTTGGACTTATCGCCTTCTAATATGCAATTTAAATATGCTTCAATTACATCGGTTTATGTGGAACGATTATTTAGCCGTTTTAAATATAAAATTAAAATAATTAATAGACGATATTTAAAATTCGATAATAATGATATTATAATAATTCAATGCAACAAATAATTTTGATAATTTAATAATTATAATTTTTTTTTTTTAATTAAATTTTTTTTCCACATATTTGGTTGTTTTTACTACATATTTTATAAATTAAACTAACATATATATGTACATATTTCTGTATTTTTATTACATATAAATCCGTTCCCTACTAATAAGATAAAGACTTGAAATTGGTGTCAAAATATACTCGTACATGCGTTGAATATTGCCGTTTTTGCTAAAAAAAAATTGTAGTTGTATAAATTTTGGGTGTAAACGTGTAGTGTCAAGAGCTGGCAGGTCAGTTTCAAATATTCAAAAACCAAATTATTGATTACATATTGATATGTTATAAAGCCTTTGCGGTTTACTCTTTACAATCTCTGTGATCACTTGAAAAAAAAAACGTAATATTTCGCAGATAGTTACAAATGCATCATTCCAGCGGCAAGGGACAACGTTACCTATTATAGTTCAGGCACGACAAACGACCGTTGTGGGTCACAAATTTCTCAATCGGTTTGTGATCTGTAGTTGTTGTAGGTACACTCAATATTTGAATCATATTATTTTTATATGAAACTAAATACAATGTATTACCAATAAAATGTTGAGCAAGGTAAATGTAAAGTATGTGGATAGATAGATACGCAACAGGTAAAAGGTACATACAGTATAAAATACGCGCTCGTGCACGATATCAAATGGAAAAAAGCAAGCTTTACTTTTTAGAAATTATCAATCGATTTTCTTAATAACGTCATTGGTATCCGAGTTCCAATGTTAAGTAGGTACGTACAGAATAATAGCTATATTATGTCATATTGAAAAATAACCATGCGATATCCGAGAATTATACGCGTACAACAATGAAAAATAAAACCAAACGAAATGCAGTGACATAATAATAATAGTAGGTAGTGGAAAGTACCTATTCGTATAACAAGAGAAACATTTTATGTGACTTGATGGACCAAAGTCTTGATTGTTTTGAACACAACGATTTATATATTAAAATTGAAAAAGTAACAAACGTTATTTGATTTCAAATTTTCGTCCTCGAAACTTAATCTTGAAAAATTCGTTGTAAATATATCTATTCGTTCGATTTATATTTGTATCATGTATATAAATACATACACGCATGCACCCGAGAACACTACGTAACCATAATTTGTTACAAACTATTTGTTTTTTACTGCTATAGCTTATGATTTTTTTTTTATCCGATCATTTTTAATTTAAGAAAGTTAAAACATATATTGGTTAACTTTTAACCTAACTTATTTTTTCTTATATTATTTTAACTTAACGAGTTATTTAAATCTTTAACTCGCGCATACGATAATATGCCTAATACTCATTTTGACCAATTTATATAAATTTTCGTTAACTTAAATTTAATATAAAATTTTTATGTTTAATTTGATAAAATAAAAGTAAGATTTTATATTACACGGTATCATTGTCCTGTTCTGTCACACGAACATTTACCGTTGATTTCAACTCGTACGTACGCAAACGTTGTCGTTAGCACTCGAATTTGTGTGCACAATCGTTATCTTTTCGAGTACAGTTTTTGTGCTCGTTTTAATAGTGTAATTAAAAAATTGCCAAACATCGCAAAAAATAAACTAAGTGATAAACGTCGTACGGTGTTGACAAATCTTCGCGACCATCACATGGCGTTGACACCGATTACGAATTATATTTAGCAAAGCATATTGAAAACGTTTTTCATTTACGTACCCGTTGACCACTTACCAGATCTCCGCGTACCAATTAAAAGATAATTTTTTCCAACTATCATCGTGTATGGTATTGATAAAATTACTATTGTTGCACTCTAAATTAATTGTGTAATTTTACGTCAACGGTGCGGACGGTTTTTTTTTTGTCATTTTTTTTCCTGTTCGCGAGACAGAAGTTATTACAACAACACATTCGTATCATTGCTTCAGAAACGGAATCAAATCAAAATCGAATTCAACGCAACAGTAATATCCCGATATCACCCGAAGTGGTCCACGCGCGTATGCCTAGCGCGGCCGGCGAACGTGACGGCAGCAGCAGGGACGTATTTTAGGAGGGGGGCGAAGGGAGCCATCGACCCCCCTCCCTGAATCCGTATTTAAGGAATCGATTATATGTAAGATACACATTTTAAATTGTTCAATGTGAATCGTTTTATAGCGAAATAAAATTACGCATGGCTGTGAGTACTGAAATTAGGTTTTTTGTCAGGTCCATACTTGGTGAAAAATCAAATAAAACGCAAGCGTAACTTTCAAAACATGGACAGGTGTTAAAAAATAACTACACAAAAGTTGATTATAAGTGGATCCAGCATTAGATTAACAAAAAACCACAAATATAAAGAATTCACCTGGTTTAAATGTTGCAAAAAATTTTACTTGTAAAATTTGATTCGCCCCCCCCCCCCTAAAAGTAAGTCTAAATACGCCCCTGGGGGTGGCTGACGTAGTAGTAGCCGTAAAACGGTGGGCGGAGTTCCGAAGTTTGCCGCGCGACGCGGTTCTGTATTTCATCGGTGGCGTCGCGAAATTCGATTTTGAAGATGTCGGCCGTCCGCCGTACACCTGCACGACGCGGCGGAGAACGGCGTGACGACAGCCCGAGCAGCGGTCGGGGGAGGGGACACGACGACGACGACGACGGCGTTAATCCGCGCGCGCTGCGAACGAACCACTTGCCGCCGGTACACGCGGCCCTGAGTGACGTCCACTCGCTCGTCCGGTGCGCACATGTCGTGTCCGCGTTCGTTGTTTCTCCCGTCGCTGCTGCCGCCGCCGCCGTCGTCCGAACTTGCACACACGCCGCTCTACGCCCACCCCGTTATCCTGCCGTTTTCTGCGTTTCACCTCCGAACAGGGAACCTCCTAACCCCTATCGTCTCCCCTCGACTAGTTCGCCCTGTGAACGGTGCACGCCACGTTTCATCTCCGTCCGGAACCACGCTCGGTGAGTATTTAGTATAAACCACGTTTTCCGGCAACGCGTCCTTTTCCTCCTGCTCGTGTGGTACGATTTATGTGAAAAAAGGTTTAGAAATCGGTTACGAACTACGTTTCGTCGTTATCGTAATTTTATAATGTTCATATACGGTTCAAATACAATTTCATGCGAAATCGATCGAATTCGGCTTAACGATTATGTTCACGACTTGGAACTTTACGCTTTTACATGTTTCTCTATACCTATTCGAAGTCTTGATTCGATACAAATTCGTTCCGTAAAACGTACGGAAATGAAAGTACAAACGTTTGTGTTGCGTATGCGGTTCTGTATTTTTAAAACATTTCGATTTATAATGTTTTAATAAAATATTCATTTTTACCTAGGGCTGTAATATTCGATAGTTATTTTTTAATCTAAATATTAAAATTCCGATTTAATAGAAAAACAATTTTTTTTTTTCTAATAATAAAACATTTTTGAAATTTTTCCCATGTACATATACGTATTACGTATTTTATAATAAAAATGATATTATGTAATACTGCATATTTAAACTTTTTTAAGTGCATACGTATTCGCATATTTCATTATTTTTTTAGTGCGTAAAAGCTCCGAGTCCTGGTTGAAATATACGCCGGAAAATGCGAAAAAAAAGTTGAACCAAATAGATTTACAGTTTTTCAGATCCGTCCGCGCTAATAGAAATAAACCACAATTACTACGAAACCGCATCGGACTAAATGATTTTTTTATTTATTTTTTATTTACACTTTTAAAAATGTAACTGAATTAGATTTTTCACCATGTTGTAAGTCAAATAAAGTAAAGACTTATTTCAGCATATACATCACATTATATCACATATCACTAGTATAAATATTCCATCGGCAGCGAATGTATGACAAGTTATTCCGATCCAACGGTAAATAAATCGAACAAAGCAAAAACTTATTCCGGCACAGGAGTCGATCTTATCACTTGTATAAATATGCCACTGGCAGCAAACGCATAATATTAAGTTAAACCAATTCCAATGGTTAAAAGACACTATCTACATACCTATTATTCAGCGGTTAGGTCCATTTCGTGTTTTACAAAAAAAAAAACGTTACAGGACATAAAATAGTAGCTCTTATTTTTCGATTACGTATTGCATGCATAACAGAGTAGGAACAATATTAATTCAAATCGTACCGATTCCGTATACGTATACATTTACTCAGTGGTGTAGTTATGAAAGTGGTGTAAAGGGTTTCCATGCCCCCCAGATTTTATTTTTAATGATATTTAACTATTATTTATTTATATTTACGTAATATAGTAAAATTATATTTTCATTTTACTATGATTAGGTATATATTAAAAACTGAGTAAAAAAAAATCGTTTTCATTGATTACGGGACATAATAATAATACCGTTTTAAATATAATATTATTATATAGGACCTCGTATTAAGAGATATACTAAGAATATTATAAATTGATTCTTAAACACCCCCCTCCCCCCAGAGAAAAAATTCTATCCAACGCCACTGCATATACTAAATCATGACACGAATAAATAACACGTTATTAATTCGCACCGTATTACAAATGGGATCCGATAGTCGTCGTTTTCGCGCGAGCACAGCGTTTCCCACCTGCTCCTGCGTCATCGAAATCGTTCGTCAACCGCCGCGGTGTCAAAAACGAACGTTGTTTTGATCACACGTGCTGCGGTAAATTATGCTGGACACGACCGGACAGCAACGCCGACGTCATGCTCGTGCGTGTACCATTCGGGAATCCAACCGTCGTATTGTTTGTCGTACGCGATGACGTCTTGGACGATTTTTACATCGAAAACGGTAGTGTCTTACATGTGTACGGGGGGGCGTGTAAACCGCGTATCGGCTACTTCTTTGACGGACGAGGGGTGGTAGAGTAATGTTAATGCTGGCTTACAACTGCACCGAACCGGATAGTTTATTTGTTATCGAACTGCAACGTGCAAATCGCGCGTAATTTGCATTTTGAATTCTTCAGCCGGTCGTGGTACGCATGCGTTGGTGTTTTGTGAAACGTGCGTTGCGTAGTCGAAAAAAAAAATCCGATTTTAAATTAGGTTTTCCTAGAAATATCCATCGAAATCGACTAACGTGTCCGGTGGCGTTCGCGGTGGGTCTACGCGGATTTATTTTTAATTGTTTCTGTGGTCGATAAGATTGTTTTATCCCACTGTTGGCGCCATACTTTGATGTGAACAATGACGTGTCGGACGCGCTACTCGTCGAATGTTACGAAAATAATGACGATTGTGACGAGACCGTTCCGTTTTTTGTTTTTATTTCTTTTCAATCTAAATATTCTAAACACTTCTTGATGTGTATATAATCTCGATATAATATCAACGAGATAAAAAACGGTCGTAAGCGGAAAATAAAAACGTTCATCCGCAAGAATGCGATAGATACGGCATGCGTTGTTATTACGAAACAAGGAAAACTATCATCGTCCGTATTGTATAAATGTTAATAATATAATTTCGAATAATATAACATTTATTTTTAATGTTGTATAAGTAATAATATTCTTCGTGTACACTTTTGTGCGGTAAAAACAATGTGTTGTAGAAAATAAACCGATAAAAAAATTACTGTTTTATCGTCCCATATTTTAGCATATTATTCTAAACGTTGTTTTATGATTCTTACCTATTATTACGTTTCACCAAATTGTTCAGTTGTAGAAATTGATGAATATAAAAGTATTGGTACCTCATACAAGAATAATTGAGATAAAATATCACTATCAAATTCTCATAGAAAATGATTTATGTTCATCGTCGTCATACTTGCATAATAATTGTGAGCCGTAAGTCGTTATTTATCACTTGCGAGTATTCACGTGTACGAAAATTATATTTAAATTTAAAACTAAAGGTTTTTTTCAGGTTAGGACAATTTTTCCAATAACAATTTTTCAATATACGCATATTCGATTATGCTAATATTCAAATTGTATATCTTGTTTATAAAGAAGCAGAAAAAATATAAACAAATAGTGCGCTGCCTCACAATAGTGTTCTTTAAACGTAATATAATACAATAATTTTCATACAACAACACGTTTTTATAAACGTGACATGAATAAAAAAAAAAATAAAAAAAATATTTCTTTTATTTAAAAATACCCTTTAAGTTTAAAAAAAAATATTTTTGGATTGAAATTTATTCTGAATTTAGGCGCTTTTATGTATATACGTATAATTATAATTATATTGTTGTATATGTATTATATTATCGGCAATATAATTTTTAATGTATTGCTCAATATAGCTTAAACGTCCGTATTTTTTATTTTATTCTTACTTTATAATCATTTACAATTATTATGTATATCTATTGATTTGATAAAATAATATATATATATTGTGCTTGCTGATAATCTGTGCTTAGGTAGTTAGCATTTAGGAGTGTATTTATTTCGAATTCTTGTATGTTTCCCTAAAGCAAACAAAATTAACAAATAATATTTTTCGTAAACGCTCGACTCTATATAAATGTCCTTTTAGATACTATATACTAAAAAAAGGCACGAAAAACTAACCTCTAAAAATAGTTGTTTTTTATCTTACTGTTTTTCACAGATTGAACATAAACAATTACTCATCAACGTACACTTGTTCTCAAAATAAAAACATTATTGAGTGTTTTTTCGCATAGGTTCTATGTGAATACAATTATACTATTTAGACTTAACTAAGATAAGATAGTTAAAGAGAGTATAGTAAATAGCAATGACTGTAATTAAGTTATTGACACAAATTCAACTGACAAGTTATAGCTTATGGCTTGCTTTTCGACAAATTGACTGGATTTTCATTTTACACTTGATTTATTATTACTAAATAACGTTGTCTTAATAGTATGTATAACTTCAACCAATCGATTATAAAACTGATATGCAATCTAAAAACAGAATCGTTGAATTTTTAATTTCATTTATGTAAAGTCAAATATTCTATGCGATTAGCTTTGAATATTTAAAAATTTTTGAACAAATTATTCAAGCAGGAAGGTCAAATTATAATTTTATCTCATTGTCAATAATATCATGATTGAAAATTACAATGATGAAATTATTAATCAGTATCAATAATATTGTATATTTTATGCTTTACGTGTAAGATAATTACTTCTGTTTTTAACACAGTTTAATAAAAATAACGAATATATATATGAATTATAGATACGGGTTATTTTTTGTGTGATGTCTGATTTTAAATATTTGTTTAAACAATTTAGTTTAGTTCATGTAATTTAGTTTTAAATTATTCATTTTTTTTTTTTTACATTTCATAAAAATAAATAATTGTTATAATTATTTATAATGATTTTAACGTTTTAGTGTTAGGTTTATAAGAATTATGATATTTATTTTTATTATTAAAATATTAAAATATGAAAATAAAATTTAAGTATATAATTTTATCTATTTTTTTAATCTGTTTTGGAATGTTATACATATTTAATAAGTAAATTCAAAATTTTTTTTTTCCAAAGCATTAAATGAAATTTATGTTATTAAAATTATTTTAAAACCAGAAGAATAATTGTGTAAAGAAATTACCAAGCGAATTTCATTATTTACAAACATTTAAAAAACTCATTATGAACAAATTGGACTATCGATTATTGCGTGTATACAACAATATTAATAATGAAAAATAGTTTAACCAAGTGCATTAAATATCAAATTTTTTTTGAAGAAAAGAGAAAAGTGAAGAAATGAATGTTAATTTTAATGCATATAAATTTATATATACATAAACCGTTCAACTTTTATATTAAAACTTCGATTTTTAAAAAGAAAAATCTTTAATCATAATGTGTACTCGGGAGTCAGTGATGTTAATGATTTATGATTGATTTTATAACGCATTTACATCTTAATTAAAACCATTATTGAGTTGTTATCTAAAGTTTCAAGTAGAAACACCGACTCTCTTGAAGTCTATACCG